CACACACACACATGTGACCTAATTTGACAGATCATCACATTGACACAAAGCATTCAAATGGAGATCACTGTGATATGTGATTGTAACTCTGATAATGATAAGAATTTAAAAAACTCATTCAAGGCTTTCATAATTATTGCAATATTTTCAGTGCATAAAACTTTATAAGTAAAAAACTTGTCCTCAAGTGGACTACAATGGTGCCTTGATAAACTTGATAGAAAGCACTCAAATATAATATTTGAGTTTAACTAGAAATGATTTTCAAGTGTAATAAAATGGTATCCTTGGTTTAGTTTAATCCGAGTGTGACAAAGGAGAACTGTCGTCTTTCTATCTACATGGATTTCTCCGACATGTTTCCTAGGCCTGTGAGAATCTACATTCCACACAGAACTTCTCGAGTCACACGAGAGTACAGACAGATCAGGACACATCACGTGATGCCACTGACCAAAGGGACACAGCCCACCAGCTGCTGAATCGGTAACAACAACAGCAACAACAACAACAGCAACAACAACAGCATAACAACAGCAACAACAACAGCAACAACAACAGAGGTGGCATCTCTGAGGAGGATTCAGGGAGGTTGGACTGCCTCACCCGCTACCCAAGAGAGGCGGTGGCCCTGGTGAAGAGCACGCTCTTCGGGGCTCCAGATATTTTGAACGGATAGACTACCACACACACACACACACACACACACACACACACACACACACACACACACACACAACAGCAACAACAACAGAATTTGTTTAAGAAGGCAAGAGCAACATGAAAAATCAAAGACGATTTCCCTGCTTTTCGTCTGGTGGAGAAATGCAAAGTGTGTGAACACAAAAACGGTCATTTACAGCAGAGGAACAAATAAGACAGACAGACAGAAACCGGGAAGGAAATGACGTAGCTCGAGCTACCAGTGGTGTCCTGCAACCACTGGCTCATCTCACAGCAAAAACAGACAAGACTGAGACTAGAGCTGGATCCTGCTTACAAAATCTGAAAAGTGGGGATTCGCGATTTAGTCGGCCTCAAAGAATCACAAGTATGCGAGCCCTCGTGGAATACTAACTGAAACAGAACAGTGTCATATTTGGTCATATCAACGCCACTTGGCGAGCGCAAGTCCCACTCGCGACCCAGCACTAACTGACACGCATCAGAGAAAAAAAGGAACCTTACAAGAATGACAACAGCCTACAGTCCGGTACCAATCAAACAGAACCATTACAAAACGCTCACACCTTACAAGGACCACTCACAACCTCAAGCCAAACTTACAGTGGAGTTTGCTGGGTTTTCTTCAGTACGGAAGGGTGTTTAGTTTAGAAACGTTGCTCAAACGTTTAGTTTAGAAACGTAGCTCAAATGTTTAGTTTAGAAACGTTGGTCAAATGTTTGGTTTAGAAACGTTGCTCAAATGTTTAGTTCAGAAACGTTGCTCAAATAGAAGACAAAAAATGGGGAATTTTATTTTTGTTTAACCCTTTGAGCCCTTGACACCGGTACATAGGTGGTACATAAAACTGCCTGTATGCCCAGCCACCGGTACATAGGTGGTACGTAAAACTGCCTGTATGCCCAGCCACCGGTACATAGGTGGTACATATAACTGCCTGTATACCCAGCTACCGGTACATAGGTGGTACAGATAACTGCCTGTATGCCCAGCTACCGGTACATAGGTGGTACGTAAAACTGCCTGTATGCCCAGCCACCGGTACAGCGGGGAGCATGACCCCATCCCTAACCCTGCACGCCTGAGACAAAACGCACACACGGAAAACAATGTGTGCTACACAAGACATTACTGATTATTTTAAAGATCTTTTTGAATTAGATGCTAGTAATGACAAGGGCTACTCTACAAGGGATATGGAATGCAAGTCTGGCGATCACATAAATGTCAGCAATATATCGCTCAGGAGCTCAGGCACGGTAGCCCCCGGAGGTCAGAGCTCAAAGGGTTAATTAACTTCTGTTTTCGGATTAACCGCGTTCAGTTTAATCGGGGCTCCACTGTACGTGAAAGGACCAACAGCACCTCAATACAAACTTCTTTACAGTACAGTTACACGACGAAAATGAGAAACTCCATTTGATCATGCTCTGCCGGGTGAGTGAATGAACAAAGAACAAGTTACTTCTTTCTCCAGTCACTAGAACACTATAAGCCATACGGCATGAACCCGTGGTTGTACAACAAGACTTTGATCATTTGAATTGACATCACGTGAACAACAACACCAATCTGTTCCTTCAAAATTGTGAGACAAAGGCATGGGGACAGACTCGGAACTGCCCTCTCAAACTGACATGAGACCGTGCTCTGAACTCCCCTCTCAAATTGATATTACAAAGTGAAGACTTGCCTGCAAGAACTTTTCACACATTTGTTCTGCTTACCAAGAGCGATTGATAGGAAGGCAACTTTGAAACATGTAAATGGCATTTTCATTTATTTTTTTATACTAAAAGCCTGAAATACAGCAAAAGCGTGAATCGACCTCTCTGAAGCTACCATAAAGTACGACCTACAACACTTTAGGGGGCATTAGAAAAGTAAAGAAGAGCTATTACTCAGAACACAATTTTCAAACTCATTATAATGACAATTTCAAAATTGCAAAGTATCTGTCTAAATAACAAACCTAGACTTATTTACAGCTCTACAACAAACCTAGACTTATGTACAGCTCTACAACAAACCTAGACTTATTTACAGCTCTACAACAAACCTAGACTTATGTACAGCTCTACAACAAACCTAGACTTATGTACAGCTCTACAACAAACCTAGACTTATGTACAGCTCTACAACAAACCTAGACTTATTTACAGCTCTACGTCTCAATAACTTTGGGACAAACTCAAGTCCACCAACTGAACCAAGCACTGAGTGTACCCGCAGGGCCCACCTTGAGCCACACGTGGTCGTTTTAAGGACAAGCGGGCTAACCCAGATTTAGGGAGTTTCCAGAAATTGTGACCTACATCAAAAGTGGGCATTGCCCTACCTATAGGAGAAGTTTGGTTTCATTGGTGTGTATATTTGTTTGTTTGGTTATAGAGAAAACTCTCCTTGTCTTTTAAAGAAACTGAACAAGGAGCAAAAACTTCACCTTCGATTTTCTCAAAACAGCATTTTTCCGGATAGCCCCCTTGTGCTTTTCAGTGACCAATTGTAAGCTAGCAGCTTCACAAACAACTTAGAAAAAAAATATACCAGAAGGAGCAGACTTCCCGTAAAAGTTGACCGATGTGCATTTGCAAAAGTACACAAAACATGTTCATCAAAGTACCACACAGAAACACTCACAACTATCACACGCAAAAATGTTGCTTTCCCATTGTAATTAGGCTGCACCCTTTGTTTATCCTGTTCATTTACATGACAGTAGCATCTCTCGCAACAATGAAAGCACCGCTTAACCACACTAGAAAAAGAATATAAATCTTACATCCATGACAAAATCCCAAAGAGGCTTCCATTCAATCCAAGCACCTGTGCAGTGTATATCTTTCTTGTCCGCGTGATCCTAGCACCAAGTCAAGTCTCATGGCACCAAGACAGACGTGTGAACGCTGGGTCGAGGAAGTGACAGAGTAAATAAAACAAGCGCATAGTTAGAGAACGTTAGGAGTACGCCATTGGCCGATATTTATAGTAACAGCCATCTTGTTTGTGTTCTTCATTCTGACAAAAGACAAAAGAAGTTCCAGACCTACTGTCTCACTTTCTGATCTGGAAAAAAAAAATGTGGAGTAAAAAAGAAAGCTTTTTTGTTTCATTTTAGCAAAGTGTTATGATAATGCTCATTATATTATGTATGTTAAAGAATAGGTCAAACACGATGGCCGTTACTATAAATATTGGCCAATGGCATACTCCTAACGCTCTCTTGTAAGTCAATCAAACCCCACTCAACATATCATCATGAGAGACCGGTCAGGGAAGTGATATAGAGAAAAAACAAACGACCCATCCAATAAATCGTGAGTGATTGCTGCGTTGTGTTCGAGTGATCTCTCGAGTGATCTCTGAGTTTGTTGAGCAAAGCGTCAAGACACGTTCACAACACTGAAGTATGACACCATGGTCCTCATTACGCAAAACAAACGATACAATATTTCTGCGGAGAGGTTGGGAGGGGGGGGACGCGCAAAACATAGCTACAGCCAGAGTCCCATTTGCACTCAATTCAGAAATAAACCCGTCAAACCGGATCCAAATTTCTGAATATTCACAAACAGTTCAGTTCGCTCATGTATTGTAATGAATCCAAATAGTCCCGCTTCCTCATCGCGTTGTGAAAGTCTTCACTAGCTCAACTGTCAGTGAAGCTTTGCAATAACGGGAGAAAGAAGCACAGCCCAACAAAGTCTCCAAATGTCCAGTCGTAGGAGCACCAAACTGCCACAAGCCACGTCAGCTACGGCGCCGCGTCCCATTGTCTTGCGTCACACACACACACAAATACACACACAAACACACACAGACACACACACACACACGCACGCACGCACGCACGCACGCACGCACGCACGCACGCACGCACACACACACACACAGACACAAACACACACACAGACACACACACACACACACACACACAGACACTAACACACACACACACACACACACACACACACTGGGCAGACAACGAGGCTCGTCATCAACTCTCACAGCCCACACAGAGGGCGCTCTGGCCTGACAGGAAGTCGCGACACGGACACAGACGCCGCAGCGAGTCCATGTTCCCCACACAGCTGAACAGCAAGCTCTCGTCCTGTCTGGTGCACGCGCCGCTGCTGGGGTCCACGGCCGGGTAGTAAATGTTGGACGAGTGACCCGTCGACTTGCACTCCGTGAAATTACGGATAGCGTCCTCGCTGTTGATTTCTGGGAAATACTCCGGTTCACAGAGGCGGCCTGGAACAAGAAAATAGGAAGAAAAAATATTGTAAAAATAGTAATATAATTAGGTTACAATCAATACAGACACTGGCCAACCATCTTCATGTCTTTTTGTTTTTTAGTTTTAGTAAGAGTTTTATGGCACTTGCAACACAATAAGGTCATATAAGTGCCGGAGATTAGAAGTGTTACAAGAGAGTAACAAACACAAAAAAGAAGGAGGGGAGATAAAGACGATACGTGCTTGATAGGCAAGAAGAAGCAAACCACACCAGAGCACCCGCCAACCACCCATATCTTCATGTCTACAACTTTGCCTCTGATTACCTACGAGTACCTGAAGAACTGGCGTCTGTGTTGTGAAAAGACTACCTTCTTGGCTCTTAAGAGATTATAAGAAATGGATTTTAGAGTCAGAAAGTTATATCATTAAGAATCTTCGTCACTGTGCTTAGATGCTGCATAATAATAATAATAATAATAATAAATAGCATTTATACTGCGCATTTCCATTTTCTAAAAGATGCTCAATGCGCATACACCTCAGCCTCAGTTAGTTTTTTTCTAAATTATCAAAATAGCTTCAATGGGCATATAAAAACTGTTCGAATCAAATCAGTCAGCATAACCATGAAGTTAAGAGGTAGTGTGCCCTGAAACAGTAACAGTATATGCATCTCTCATTCTGAAACATTTATTTTTGCTCAAAACCAATTTTGACAAGTATATTTGGAATGAATATCGTCTTATCACCACAAAGCATCGCTTAAAAAGACAGACTACATTTGAGCGGCTGGAGTAGAGAATGGGAACTGTAGACGAGACAGGAAGGAGATGAATTCCACAAACACACACACACACCACACACATGCATGTACACTCACCCACACACACAAAAACACATACACACACACACCCACACACACACAACATACCTGTCTTCCAGCAGACATCCTTACAGGAACGCCCCGCGTCCCAGAAACACACACACACACGCACACGCACACGCACACGCACCCACACACACACGCATGTTCACACACACACGCACGCACATTTACACACACACGCACGCACAGTCACACACACACACACACACACACACACACACACACACACACACACACACACACACACACTCACACACACACACACAACATACCTGTCTTCCAACAGACATCCTTACAAGAACGCCCCGCGTCACCTAAAGTAAACTCCACTGATTCTTTAGGAGGCCACTTCGCAGCTTTCCGAGAGAAGGAGCAAAAATTTTGGTTTTGAATGAAAGCGTTGATCCTCTGCAACATTCCAGCCTCCGTGTACTCAAACGGCAAGAAGCTGGTGAACTGAAACAAAACGAAAACCGAGGGGAAAAAATTAAGACAAAAGCATAGTAAAGGAGCACGAGGCAGGGGTAGGCCACGGGAAACATGGAGGAGACGCGTGGAAAGGGACATGAGAGAGATGAAGCTCACTTGGAACGAGCTTGGAAGGATGGCTCAGGACAGAGACAAATGGAAGGAGCTTGTATGTGGCCTATACCCTGCCAGGGGTGAAAGGCATTGATGATAATGATGATAGTAAAGTAAAAGTGAATTTTTTTTACTGGACACATTATACAAAAACTCAGAATGGGATTTAATTTTTGTTGACATACAATCTATTAGTTTGTTTTAGTAAGAGTTTTACAGCACTTGCAACACGACAAGGTCAAATAAGTGACAAAGAATAGATGTGTTACAAGAGAGTAACATACACAAAAAAGAAAGAGGAGAAATAAGGACGATACATGTCTGATAGGAAAGAAGGAGCAAACCACACCAGAGCACCCGCCAATCACCCACAAAAGTATAGTAAATTAAAAGTGAATTTTCTTTATTGGACACACTATACAAGAATTCGGGATGGGATTTTTTGTTGATATTCATGTAAGGGGAAACCTCAAGAGAGACAGACAGATGGACGGACAGATGGAAAGACAGACAGACAGACAGACAGACAGACAGACAGACAGACAGACAGACAGACAGACAGACAGACAGACAGACAGACAGACAGACAGACAGACAGAGAAACACCCCCCCCCCCCAAAAAAAAACTGGCACTTCCAGAGATATTGTCTATACACCCGTACACATAAACACACATATGCAAGAACACAAGCACTATGCAAGTAGACCCATACATACACCCACACACACACCTACCCCCACAGACATATGGGAAGTGTGCTGACAAAACGAGTTACTTCTCGCAATCCACAAATCGATAAATTGGCCCAAAATGGACACTACGGTTAAATTTGCACATATCTTATTGATGCCATATTCTTTAAGTGTAACATGCCTTTTATTGTTTCATACTTATCAGTCGTAAAAACTTCCCCTATAAATGTGAGGTAATTATTTCCATAAGGCTGAAATTCGAGAAGTAACTCATTTTGTCTGCATGCTTCACAATATCACGAATTACTTTCATCAGACCTACTGGTGACATCTAAATAAACGCTTTTTAATAATTGAGGAAACTTTTATTAGAAAGTGCATGATCGTGTTGGGTACAATCTTGGACTACCGTACTTTTGAATGACAGCACTGGTACCTACTTTATGTGTGGAGAGAATTTTGTCCAGAACCGCCTCCACGTCCTTGGTTTTGTTGATGTTTATGGTGTACACGTACGGCTCTCCGATGAACGTGTCTGCGTACGGGTGCTGGGAACCCAGCTGGGGAATTCAGAACAAAAGTTTTTGGTTTAGTTTTAGTTGAGGTTTTACGGCGCTCACAACTGCATAAGGTCATATGAGCGCCAAGGGGTGGGTGTCAACAGAGAAGTCTTTACAGGGAATCAGACTTACTCTGCTCACCTCTCTAGCTTCAACATCACAAAGTCTGCTTTGACTATCAAGGCACCCCGGAAATAGCGGGTCACAAGAGTGTGACAAACGTACATAAGAAGTAGAGGAAAAAATGACGATAGATCTAGTAAGGACTAGGAAAGAAAAAGCAGCAGTTCCTTGTTGCAGTTCAGGCACAGTTATGAGTATGACATTGATGAATCAGCCCATTTACAGTTACAATTCTACTGAGCATAAGAACTCAAGATGTTAATGTCCCCCCTTTGGGAATGGCCTAAAGACTCTTCAGTCAGTGGCACCACCCGGGGGTGGTAAAAGGGGTTAACTGTGAAATTCCAATTGACTCCGTCAAATTTTCAATTTTACTTAGTTGCTACATGTGGCCAGTTTGGGGTCTCATGCCCAATCCTAATCCTTTTTAGTAAGAAATTACTCACTCATCTTCGGCACAATGTCAAGAAACTTTGTTGCAAGTACTATTAATAACTTAACTAATGTTAGAAAGAATTTGGTAGGCTTTAATTAGAACACTTTCCACAGGTGCATGAATGAACAAATTAGAGCCGAGGAAAATCTCGTTCCATTTACAAAAATATTACAATTGTCGCTCTACAGACAAATGGCTTTAAAATTATGAGCATCAGACACTTACAAACAATTATGCAAATTTTCAAAGAAATTGAAAAAGCACACTTTGAGAAATAATCACAATTGTAACCCATCTCTAATTTTTTTTTTTTTTAATAAAAAAAAATCATTTGTGTGGCTTGAAGAGGTTTTACTGATGCAGACACCAGAACTGAACTGGTCATGGGATACATTCGCACCAGCTTTCAGATAACTGAAGACCCAGCACTTGTTCAGAACTATTGGAACTTTTTTTTCTACTCATTTTTCAGGTTTGGGACCTAGCTCAATACGTTCTGGACATCTACAGCAGAAAAAATGGAAAAAGCGAAACTTTAAGGCAATTGGATCTTCAAGTGTAAATTGTATTTCCTGATGCACAAGTGAATCTCTATACTTTACTTTACATTACTTTTCTGATCCAGCGGCCATTTGGGTTCTAGCCCTTCGGTCTGTTGATATGGCAAAGAATTGACAGGACTTAATCAGCTGGACTTTGTCGCTGTAAAGAGTATTTCCGATGTCTGGGGAGGCAGGTAGGTAGGTGCTACGCAGGTCACAAAGTGCTGGGCAGTTAAAGAGGTGGTGTGGTACTGTTTCATCCTGGCAGTCACACAACGGGCAGTGGGGTGGGGTATCCTTGCGGATCCTATTAAGGTAGGAATTTAGTGGTATGTGTTGTGTTCGCAGGCGAAATATGGTGACTTGTTCTCTTCTACTCAGGGAATTTATTGCATCTTTAGAGTTGGGGGCTGTCATGTGTGCAAATACAGTGAATCTCTATAAAAACAAAACAAACGAGCGTTGTTGTGTTCTGTTTTGTACCACCGGATTCTCGGATATTTACCGAGTACTTTAAGACAGATCAAATCTTTGGAATCATTCAAATGTCTGTTGAAGTCGTTTCGGTTTTTAAATTAATAAGATGAATATTTGGAGTGATTTTCTTTTAGTCAGAACACAACGTTTTATGTTACTGTTGTACGTTGTACTGTATTGTAAAGCGCTCAGAGCCTGTGTACTTTAATCGGGGTTGAGCACTATGTAATATTATTATATGCTTCACTGCTGCAATGTCTTGAAAAACTCCCAGCAAAACCAGGTATTACAGAGAGAGTCTACGGGGGCTCTCGTGCCCTAGAGGTTAAGGTGTTGGCCTCTCATTCAAAGGTCTCGGGTTCCAATCCGGGTAGCGACCGAAAAATTTTCTTCTCTAAAATTGTCTCCTTTCACCTCCTTTCCTGCTCTCTAGCAATGTTCTGTTATCTGCTTTCATTTCCACTTTCTGCCCCCACCCCCTCACCTCCTTTGCCCCCTCCTCTGGGCTCCTGACTCTTTCTGCAGCCTTTCTACTGTTACTCCTTGGCTCCTCCTTACTGCTGTCTTTCTGCCACACCCCTGATCTTCTGGTAGGAAAGATCTACACCTAGCCTTCTCGGACAAGGGCGAAAAATCTCGGAGGGCCCGTGTGCAAGTTGCGCACGTTAAAGATCCCTTGGTGGTCTAAAATCGATAAGAGTAGGCTTCGACCGACCGCCACCCGGGCAAAATTCACAATTTCCTACCAACTGGAAATATTAGGTGTGCCCCGC